AAGATAATGAACACTTTGATCAGGAGTGTGCCATTTACAACACAGGTTACGAAATGCAGCAGTAAGGACCATGTAAAGTACAACATGCATATAGGGTACTGAGGTCAGGAGTATGTAATGTACAAAATACAACATACAAATAGCATGTAGAGGTCAGGAGTATGCAGCATACAGAACATTGTGGAGCAACCAGGAATATGTGGTGTAAAATACAACTGTGTAGCAACCAGAAGTATGTAGTGTGCAGCACAGATTTTACAGAGCAGTAGTTCAGAGTATATAATGCACAGCATAGTCAGGAGTATGTAAAAATAGCACACTGTACACAACACATAGGTCAAAAATAAGTAATGTACTGCCTATATTCTAGTAATCAATGGCAGGATAATGCTCCCTCATTTTGGTGGTCAGTGGTAAGAAAAAAGTTCTTACATTATTAGTCATTTAGAGACAAGGACGTCCCCAGCGTCGGAGTGAAAAAATACCCTATACCCTAGCATTGGTATCAGTGGGAGGAAGAATTCCTCAGCATTGGTGTCAATTGGAGGAAAACATTCACAGCATTGGTGGTCAATGGGAGGAAGACTGCCTGAGAATTTTTGTTTAGAAATGGAAAACTGCCCTAGCACTAGTAGACAATGGGAGGAAGGGAAGAATGCCCTAGGATTTGAGTAAATGGCAGGAAGAATATCTCAGCATTGGGGTCAGTGGGAACAAGAATGCCCCACCATCAGCATTGGTGGGATGAATAATGTCCTAACATTGGTGTCCATGGCAGAAAGGCTGCCCCAACATTGGTTTCATTAGGAGGAAAACTGTATTGATGCCAGCAGGAGAAACCATGGTGTCAGTAAGATTTTCCCAGTTTTTTGTCAGTAGAAGTAAGAATGCCCAAGCATTGGTGCCAGTGGTTTCTTGCCGAGGAATTTCTTGCTTTATATCTTCTGCTGGTGGCTCTGCCTTTATGCAGACACACTCAGGCAGGAGATCAGTCTGCCTAAGAATACCATGCACTCGAGTGGCTGTCACTTACCTGGGCACCATACTGGAGTCCTGGATAGCCGGTCCAAGCTCCATACCTGCTCTTATTTATAGCTCACGTAAGTAGGCACCAACAGTAGTTATGCAAAATGTACACATGCATGCTGTAATGATGCAAAATACACACCCCTTTAAAATACAAGATTAATATTTCAAATGATCTATAAAGGGGTGACACAGATCCCTCAATCCATAGCCTCAGACTTTGACATTAGGGAAATTCCAGATAATGGTTTAGGCACATCAGAGATGACTCTTTGGCTTTCCTGCTGGCACCACTGGCTGTTACACTATATTGGGTATTTGACCCCACACTGTGAATAATATACCCGTGGGTGCAGTGGATTACATGAAACTAAGCTGAAAGGAATTTCTGACTTTGAAGTTTTCAACAACCAGCAGAGTTTCACAAAGTAATTTGTTTTTACAAGTTGGATTTACTAGCAAAATAAAAAATGACATATTTGAATCAGTTTACTGCCACTAGCATTAACACAGCAGTTTCAGCAGATCTGTTTTTTGTTGCTTTTATGAGTCATTCATGCCAGTAGATCTGTAATTTTTCCACTTCCTTTAAAGTGGACTTTGCCCCCAAACAGTCAAAATCAGTTGTGCACGCAGATATCAAATCATCCTGTTATGCTCTGTTAAAAAAAAGTAGTACTTACTTATATTTAATTAGATGACAATCCCTGGTTACTAGAAGCACTGGTGACATAGCCAGGGCCTCACAGCTGCCCCCTGGGATCGGTAGATTTAAATATCGACTCTGTTCATTTTCAGGTACTCTCTTCCTCCAGCTTCACAGCAAGTAAGCATGTGTTTCACAAATGTCTAATGTCAAATGTCTACACACACAAATGGAGGAGGAGGATGGTAGCACAGAGCCAATAACTTTAGAGCTGAGAATTATGGTTTGAGTATATACCAATGAAAGCTCCACTAAAACCTCCTGAATTAATTATTCCATGTTCTTCCATTCACCATTACATAGAAAAGTAGTAGACCATCTGGAATTATGGATTGTGTGTTTGGCTCAAAAGCTCATCCTGTTTATGGCACAAAGCAATGAATTTAATTGGCTTTGGAATAAAGTTACTATATAAAGAAATTATATGGGTTTGACAGTACAATTCTTTTAATGTCCATTCTGTAGTTGTTCCTGTTCTAAACAGATGCTATAAATCATGTTTCTCCTTTATAGATGCTAAACATCTAGACAGTTGCTATGAGAACTGTTGTTCTGGTGCTAGACATTCAATAATCTCTTTTCTAGCAAGTGAAAATGAAGGCTTTCAACTGAACAATGATGAAAAGTGGTATGAATGCACATATAGGATATTGTAACTGGCAGGTGTATATATTCTTCACATTACAATCCCTATAGCTAATAAAAGTATTCACCCTACTTACTGTAAATGTAGGGTTATAACAGACATATCCCACTGAATAGACGTTTCATTGAAAAGGAGTATATTAGAATGTACAGACTGAGTTTGAGACACCTAGTGGACACTGTAACAACTGCATGCTTTTTAAATTTTCCATCAATGGTTACACATTAACTCTTGTTTCACTCATCCCTGATGGAGCTGTTGGATGTTTTTGGGTCCCTCTGCCATGCACCAATGATGATGCACAATTACCTAGACCTGAATGACACCACGACAAACTTGGTATGCTTTAAATGGGTTTTTACTGAATGCAAAAGCCCTGCAGAAGGAAATGGTGGGGTTTCTAGGGCAGCCTTTCTCAACCAGGGTGCCCAGGCACCCTGGGCTGGCTTCAGGCTTCTTCAGGGGTGTCTTGCCAAAATGCCCCAAAAATGTATACAAGCCAGCAGGTGGATCAATCCTCACTTTTTGTACACAAACCACAGGTTTTCATTGTGCACTTTTATGACCTTCTAGCTATCCTAACAACCAATGACATCATCAGTTGATAAGGAGGACATCAGGTGCATGCACCTCATCCTTGTTTGTCCCTCCCCTGCCCCTCTCCATCAACACTGGGGTCACATTAGCAGAGTGAGGGAGAGAAAATGAGAGAGCCACACTGGAATACCAGTGTGCAAAGGTGTCTTTGCTTTGGAAGAATAAATCACCTCTAACGTTGGGTGTACTGGATGTGTGTAGAATAGTTTTTTACATTTTAGATTGGGGTGCCTTGAGATTGTGCAAACTTTTAAAGGGTGCCTTGAGATTATCCATAATGTTAAAGGGTGACTTGACTGAATAAAGGTTGAGAAACACTGTTCTAGGGGACACTGTACACTCTCTGGGTTATCCTATTCTTCCCACAGGTCCTGGTAAACTCTGCATACTGTGTACCCCAGATGGGTCCCTCCATTCCCCATAGGGTGGTGAATGAAGCTTAAACACCTGGCCAAGCGACAAACAATTATATTCAGCTGACCCTGCATCCTCCTTTGCCCCAGTTGATAGAGAAGTGGGTTCCTCTCTGAATATAGCAACAGCTAATGAGAATTCTTCTCTCTCCCAGCACTGTGCATCAAGCAGGGAGAAGAAAAAAAATTTTCTTGAAGAATTTTATTCTTCAATGCTGCTTTGCAGAATTTTAAGTGCTCAGCTGGCACTACAATGTCAACCCATTTTTGTTAACCATATCCCCTATAGCTGTATTATCCAATAAATCAACAATTGTTATAAACCCCTATAATGTTAAAAGCAGCTGTGATTAGGTAAATATATTATTATATTCATATATATATAAACCAGCACTAAAGTTCAAGAATTTGCTACAAATTATAAATGCAATGTTGCAAAGTCTCAGATCTTTCTCTGTAACTGTGTTTCATTCACCATACAAAAAAGTCAGTTGAAATGGATCCAACACCTCAGTGGTGTACAAGACTAAAATCACTCCCATGGGGGAGGGGGAGAGAAAGAGAGAAAGATTCCAGCACTCACCCACTGGCCACCCCGGGAGCCATGATCAGGAAAGCCTGACGTCTTCCTTCTGCGCTGATCTTTGACAATGATCCGGGAACGAGAGTCGGACACCCTTCAGGAGCCTGCAGCCACACTGCTGTGCCTCACCTGCTCCCAATTCTCTGTCACCAGCTGCCATATGTGTCACTTCTACCGAAGAGTGGCGCTGCCCCACTGAAAAATGCCACCCTAGGCAAACGCCTTACACCCCTGCAACACCTATAACCAGATAAATTATCCAAAGCACTTCATGTGTCCTGAACTCTACATCAAATGTGCTCCAACTGTGTTATCCAACTCCACCTTTAGAAAGACTCACTCCCTGAGTGGATGATCTCAAATTATAAAGGTCAGAAGTGCATTTTCACCATTATCTCCAAATGTCTCCTAGGTAAAAAAAAAAAAAATTTAATAGGAATACCCAGTTATTTTATAACTTTTCCATTATTCCAATTCCATCTCCATACATCTTCTCAATGTGGGAAGGATATAATTTAAAAAAGACTATACAATTGTGTAATTCTGCTTTATTTAAAACATAAATGAATGAAAAACATATAGTTGTGCTTACATTACATAAGTACATGGAAAGACTTTCACCTGCATAGGTCCCACCACAACACAAAAGTTCCAGCAAAATTGACCTTCGCTTGTTGTAAATCCTGACTTGTCCGTAGTGTCACCTGTTCAACCTCGCTGTATGCATTTAATCAAATTACTTTACCAGGAGAAACCCTTTTTATTTTAATTTTTAGACCTTTTTTTCACAAGGTTTAGTAGTGTGTCTATGGGAATGTTAGACCATTCTTCCAGAAGCGCATTTGTGAGGTCAGTCACTGATGTTGGATGAGAAGGCCTGGTTCGTAGTCTCCACTCTAATTCATCCCAAAGGTATTCTATCAGGTTGAGGTAAGGACTCTGTGAAGGTCAGTCAATTTCCTCCACCCCAAACTCGCTCATCTATGTCTTTATGGACCTTGCTTTGTGCACTGGTGCAGGCATGTTGGAACTGCCATCCCAAAACTGTTCCCACAAAGTTGGGAGCATGAAATTGTCCAAAATGTCTTGGTATGCTGACGCCTTAAGAGTTCCCATCACTGGAACTAATGGACCAAGCCCAACCCCTGAAAGACAACCCCACACCATAATCTCCCCTTCACCAAACTTTACACTTGGCACAATGCAGTCAGGCAAGTACTGTTCTCCTGGCAGCCGCCAAACCCAGACATGTCTATTGGATTGCCAGACAGAAAAGCGTGATTTGTCACTCCCGAGAACATGTCTCCACTGCTCTAGAGCCCAGTGGCAGCATGCTTTATGCCACTGCATCCGACGCTTTGCATTTCAATTGGTGATGTAAGGTTTGGATGCAGCTGCTCAGCCATGGAAACCCATTCCATGAAGCTCTCTATGCGCTGTTGTGCTAATCTGAAGGCCACACGAATTTTGGAGGTCTTTAGCTTTTGACTCAGCAGACAGTTGATGACTTCTGCGCACTGTGTGCTTCAGCATGCGCTGACCCCGCTCTGTCATTTTACGTGACCTACCACTTTGTGGCTGAGTTGCTGTTGTTCCCAGTTGCTTCCACTTTGTTATAATACCACTAACAGTTGACTGTGGAATATTTAGCAGCAAGGAAATTTCATGGATGGACTTACTGCACAGGTGGCAACCTATCATGGTACCACGCTTGAAAGCACCACTAAGCTCCTGAGAGCAACCCATTCTTTCACAAATGTTTGCAGAAGCAGTCTGAATGCCTAGGTGCTTGATTTTATACACCTGTAGCAATTAAGGTGATTAGAACACCCGAATCCAATGATTTGGAGGGGTGTCCCAATACTTTTGGCAATATAGAGTATCTCTCAACTTTCTGACATGAGAAAGCTTTGGAACCCTTTCAAAATAAAATATTTAGGCTATAGACACATCCCTGCCACAACCCTGAAGATATGTAAAAAAATAAACAGTTTATCCTACCAATAATTATTTCAACAATGCTTTTACTTTGTATTATCATTTGAAAATAACCAATTCCTGTCTGTGGCATAGTTGGGGAGATTTCTGCTTGTTTTCTGCCCCATTGGAAATATTAGCATTGAAACAGGAAGTGAGGGGAAATCTTCAATGGGGATGGCACAGACAGCAATACAATGCTACGGCAAAAAAAAAATGTGTTTGGGGGAGATTACTAAAACTGGAGAGTGCAAAATCTGGTGCAGCTGTGCATGGTAGCCAATCAGCGTCTAACTTCAGCTTATTCAATTAAGCTTTGGTAATAAAACCTGGAAGCTGATTGATTTCTGTGCATAGCTGCACCAAATTTTGTACTCTCCAAGCAAATATCCCCCTCTATGTTGCTGTTAAATTGTACCCAATGACTACATTGTTAGTAAAAAATACTCACTATTCAGACCACAAAGACAAATAAGAACTGACAGCAGGTAAGTGTTGGACACAGGTGCAGGGGCGGACTGACAACTCATGGGGCCCCCGGGCAATAGGGGATCATGGGGCCACTGTGTCCTTGCCCACACTCAAAAAAGCCTATGAAAAGGTACCAGGGGCATCTCATGGGGCCCCCTACTGACCCCGGGCCCTTGGGCAGTGCCCGAGTTTCCAAATGGTCAGTCCGCCCCTGCACAGGTGGTAGTACAATCACTGGGACTCTTTTTTTTGTCTTAGTGACTTTAGAACTACTTTAAAGTGATTGTAGCTGAATTACATGTGTAACAACACAATTGAGTACTGCCCATGATACTTTTTTTGCAATAGCAGGTACATTTTCAGGACACCTTCTTTTGAGGTCCAACCCGTACTTCTTCGATAGCTTTGGCTCATAAAAGCTTGTCCAAAAAATGTAACTGTTAGTGCCATTTAAAAAAATCTAGGATACCACAAAAGGCACTTTTACTTAGCTGATCATCTGCTCTTTTAGGCTCCCTCCATGCTGCTAGTCTGGTCCCTGCAGCCTCTTCTCCCCTACACTCTGGCAGTCGCAGGTTCACTAATGTCATCAAGTACAATGCAGTGCCAATAGCCCTGCGTGTACAATATATACACTGCAGCGCCCATAACCCTTCATTGGACATGAGTTCGCCAAGGGAAAGTCCAGTGCTTCAGCTTAGGGAGTGCAGCTCTAGCTTTCATACTCCCCCACCCAGAATGGCAGTATTTTGTAATAATGTTGAGCAATTCCAAAGTCGTCAGGCCAGTCACATGATGTGCAGATCCCTTTTCTTTTTCAGTCTTCTCCAGCAGTGAGAAGTCCTCGATGCAGCTCTCTGTATCAGTACACTGTGAGTGCAGGACTGCACACTAAGGAGCGGAACTATGACAACCTGCACTCACAATCTTCCATGTTGGGTGTCACTGGCCATTATTCAACCCTGAAGACTGGGAACATCCTGTGGGTAACCAAGTACTGCAGCCAGAAATGTTTTTTTTTTTTTTAATCTCCCCCACTGGGACATTTTGGAATAAGAAACGTAACCCAGAGTTGTGCCTAAGTACAGTTATAGTTTCTGCTGGCTATCATTAGTTCGCTAGAGCAGCTCATCTTTGTTGCCTGAATTTGTTCTTTAGGTTACTTTAGGTTACTTAGTTCAGTGAGACCGGATTCACCCATAAACCATTGTTAGAATGTGCTAAGGCCACCTGTCAATATGATTAGGCTGCCAACGAACCACAAAGGATAGAAGAATTCACGTGACTCCTTTTAGCAATGCAGTGCACCACAATGCAGGGTATGTATGCTGTGTTGTGCTGTGATGCATTCTGCATTGCTGTCTACTTTACAGTGCATTGGGATGCTGTTGACAATGAATGGCACTGCACACCACAAGTGTGAATAGGCCCTAATGTATACTGCTCTCAGACATTTGTCACAATACTAATCAATGATGCATAAACTTAAGCCTTTCTTGATGACATTATGAGCTCATTCACATGGACGCAGAACTACAGTGTGAAATGTTGGTTATTTACAGTGCATCCAGAAAGTATTCACAGCGCTTAACTTTTGCCACATTTTGTTGTTACAGCCTTATTCCAAAATGCATTAAATTAATTTTTTCCTCAACATTCCACAAACAATACCCCATAATGACAATGTGAAATAAGTTCATTTTGAAATCTTTGCAATTTATTAAAAATAAAAAAAAAAAAACACATGTACATACAGTAAGTATTCACAGCCTTTACTCAATACTTTGTTTAAGCACCTTTAACACCAGTTACAGCCTCAAGTCATTTTTAGTATAATGCTACAAGCTTGGCACACATATTTTTGGGCAATTTCTCCCATTCTTCTTTGCAGTACCTCTCAAGCTCCATCAGGTTGGATGGGGAGCATCGGTGCGTAGCCATTTTCAGATCTCTCCAGAGATGTTCAATCGGGTTCAAATCCGGGCTCTGGCTGGGCCACTCCAGGACATTCACAGAGTTGGCCCGTAGCAACTCCTTTGTTATGTGGGCTGTGTGCTTAGGGTCATTGTCCTGTTGAAAGATGAACCGTCGCCCCAGTCTAAGGTCCAGAGCGCTCTGGAAAAGGTTTTCATCAAGGATGTCTCTGTACATTGCTGCATTCATCTTTCCTTCAATCCTGACTAGTCTCCCAGTTCCACAGCATGATACTGCCCCCACCCTGCTTCATTGTAGGGATGATATTGGCCAGGTAGTGAGCGGTGCCTGGTTTCCTGCAGACATGACGCTTGGCATTCAGACCAAAGAGTTCAATCTTTGTTTCATCAGACCAGAGAGTTTTGTTTCTCATGGTCTGAGAGTTCCTCAGGTGCCTTTTGGCAAACTTCAGGTGGGCTGCCATTTGCCTTTTACTGAGGAATGGCTTACGTCTGGCCACTCTACCATACAGGCCTGATTGGTGGAGTGCTGCAGAGATGGTTGTTCTTCTGGAAGGTTCTCCTCTCTCCACAGAGAAACGTTGGAGCTCTGAAGCCTCCCTGACGGTATTTCCGAGTGTAGCTCGGGGTAAAGTTTCAGTACCACAAGCGGTAACCCCGAGCTACACTCGGGGATACCATGCGGCGCTGCTCCGTGATCCCTCGATCACTTAACTTGTCCTGTGCTCCCGCGATGTCCCTCCTGCAGTGTCCCCTGTAATGTCCTTCGGCGGACCCGGCATTTGTCATCTGGGATCCGTCCCCTGCGAGCATCGGGACGTACGGGGGACGGAACGGCGGGAAATTTGAAAATGACAAAAAGTGACATTCACTAAAATCACTAAATTCACATAGTAAAACATTACTGTATCAAAGCATTTCACATACATTTTGTCCCGAGTGCTTTGTCCTGTGCCCTGCCTGCATTTTTACTGTTCTTTCTACCTGAAAACTGAGAAACGTCCATGGCGTCCAAAAAGCGTCCCTTTTGGTCAAAAGCGGTTTTAGACCAGCTAGAGAACAGCGATAGTAAATTAGAACTACTTGCAGAATTGAGTGATAATGATTCGTGGGGAAATTCGTCTTCAGACACTGAAAACGATTTTGCGACTTTGCTCGGTGATGTGCGAACTTGGCGCTATATTTCAAATTTCAGTGTTTTTGGTTTGATTATATTATTGAATTACATTTATTATTATTATATTATTATTTTTATGATTATTTATTAAATTATCATTTATGATTTCGTGTTTCAAGTTTTATCATACCCGGGATGTTTACTAGACTCTTGTTTGGACAGATTTCAGTGAGTTATTCCTAAAAATTACAGGCCTACAATAAAAAAAATACATATTTCCATGCAAAAAAATGTACCGCTTTGAGCAAAAAATATGTACATAATCAGACCGCTAGGGAGGTTAAGAGTGACCATCGGTTGCTTGGTTACCTCCCTGGCTAAGGCCACTTGATCGCTCATTTTGGCCAGGCGGCCCACTCTAGGAAGATTCTTAGTAGTTCCAAACTTCTTCCATTTTGTTTGTACAATGTTGAGGAAAAAAATGAATTTAATGCATTTTGGAACAAGGCTGTAACATAACAAAATGTGGCAAACGTTAAGCGCTGAGAATACTTTCTGGATGCACTGTATCTTTTTGTACTAGCACGTAGCTGCATGTAAACAGCCTATATCATTGAATGGGTATGCATTGGCTGTACAGACTCACCAAGAGAGCCAAGTTTGACAGGTGTATAGGCCATGATGAAGAGAATGTGCGACCAGGGTTGCGCACCTGTCCCTGCATACCTGTGAGACTCGCTTGTGCATGATTCTATACAGTGGATGCATATCCATTTACTTAAGATGCCTGCATACAGCCAGTACGAAAAAGTAGACAAATGTCACTTCATTCTGTATGGGGCTGCACACTCATATGAATGGGTCCTATACGTGTTATTGTTTAATTTATATTTTAAAAATAATTAAAGTGTATTTATGCTAATTTTTTCTTTTTTGGTTTTGAATAGAGCATAAATGTGTTAGAACCCCTGTTATATTTTGATTGCTGTCTGTGTATAATGGTCCTAGGAAATGTCACCCCTCCCATTCCTAGATCAGCAATGACCCAATAACTGGCACTGCCTCCCTTCCTACTCAGTCACCATGGTAATGCCTTTGTGTCATGCTTCCATAGCTGGCTCAGAATCACCTTAAACAATGTATCTGGTATTATTATTCTCACTAGTCCCACTGCAGCTGAGTAGTGTCCCTGAAAATAATTCTCCCTCCATCTCCTGTGCACATCATTGCCCCCCCCCCCCCCCCCC